CGTCACTTTCCAATACCCTGCACATATGATATTACATTGATAACTATTTCGGTGAAATAAAAAAATAAATAAAAAATGACGTTTTCCAGTACATTTAATCCTGCAATAAACTCATCTTTTAAACTATAAAAGAGGTTCATCAAATGTATATAATTTCAACGGTTTAACTCATTTAATAGATCATTGAATACAATACGAGGTCCTGACCAAATGTAGAGTGCTTCGAAGGCTTTTAAGTAAGGGCATTTCGGTTTTGCAATGAAGGGTTGTGCTTAGGGTTTCAAAGCCACGTGACATTTACTGGTAAAAATGAACGAGTATTGAACCAGACAGGTCAGATCTCTAAAGATAGAACAAAACCTGTAAAAAGTAACAGGTTTTGTTTTTAATTTTGAAAGTAACATTTTATTAGTTCAGCTTTCAGACGGTGCTGGCCGGGAAAGTAAAATGTGCCTTTGGAGTCACCCGGGCAATGACGTCACATGGTGGCCAGATGTGAGAAAACTGTCAATACGTGTTAACGGGTGGTTTTCTTGTTTACTTTGCAACCGTATACTATATTATCATTCGTCCTCACTTATCAGCTTTTACAAAGGTTTTGGTTGAAAACGTGATTGATTATTCAAGCAAATAATCTGCATGGATAACCGACTTAAACAGAAAACGACCTTACTTGCAACAAATACAATTATTGCACTTACTTATCTCTCTGTAGATACTTTATGTAAAAATGATATTGTACCTTAAAGCTGTTAGAGGTTTAGCATACAAGTTACATACTTGACACATATGCATTCTGTATCTTAGTAACACTACAATGACCTATGTTACATTACCATCGATATATGTCCATATAGATGCGTCTATTTCCACCTTGTTCCTAGCTGTTGGGCGGAGAAGTCTACCACTACCACACCAAGCTAATGATGAAAAATCCTCGTACCGGCATCGTTTAATACATAAACACCACTACGGCGTTTTTGTATGCGTTTGAAAAGTTTTTCAAAATTAATGTGTGTTATCCAGGTATTTGTAACTGGTTGAAATTTAAAATAGCAAAGAAAATAAAACATCTTTTGAAAACGAAATAATATAACTAGTATCTTAACACACAAAGTTCGGTTATCCTTCAATCGGGCTTAATATATAATATAAATATAATATATAAACTTCATTTATTTTACAACAATTATGAAACACGTTATTTCATCTTATATTAATCATCTTGTCGGCCCGGATGTTAGCGCGCGGGGGTCTTATTGTGGGAGGAAACCGAAGTACCCGGAGAAAACCCACATGGTCGGGCAGGTGACCCCATACCTTTTCACGTCCGATCGGGGAATCAAACCCCGGTAGCCTTTTTGAAAGGCAAGTGCGCTATCCACTGCACCATCTGACCACCCAATAATACGGATCATAAAGTTATGAAGTGCTAAGAAGATATTCATACTTTGTCAAATTTTACCCTGTGAAGTAACATAACATGACTAAATTGAAAATGTTTATTACAAAAGAACTACTTCAGAATTGTCGCCAATCAGAGGACAGTTTCAACCTCTAAAAGAGAAAAAGCATGGTATTATTCGTGTGTGTTGACATTGATTTTCTCTTCATTATATCCCATTTCTTCTTATCAAATGAACAATTCTGGTTACAATACCGAATATAAGATAACAAATAAGCAGTAATAAAAGCTACATACATGCATATGAGCTACAATGTCTTAATAGCATCTGGTATAATAAACTGTGAACATTTGTGAAATGCTCTTTTTACAGATACTACGAGGATCACACAAGTGTGGACGAGTAAACCACGTAATGGTGGCGGGTCGAACTATGCAATAATTCATCACATCTACATTATGCTAGTATTATATATAGCATGTCATGTGTATCTACACTAGATTTCTTAATAATGCTACATAATCTTTTTTAAAGACATAAGTGTTTTTTTTACGTTTTATATGAGACTGTTGAAACGATCCTAAAAAATATCATTTGTACGTTGCTCTTTAAACGGCATTAAAGTCAAGACCTCATATCCATTGTCTAAATTCTGACGTTATAAATGGGATATCACGAAAGGCAGTCATGCTTAAAACCATGGTTGACACTTAAATAGGGAGGTTTGAATATTAACACTTACAATGGATAACTACATGCACCGTTGATGATAAAATGCCTTTATTACGCTGAAATATAACTACTGAAACCTGAAATATGTTAACGATGTTAGATTGTCTCCAATGAAAGCTGGTACACGATTTTGTAGTTATGAGCCTGTAATTAGGCTGGGACTTTATGTCTTAAAACTCAAATGTTATAACGTATTTATGTAACGCAGTAGTTTAGATACATGTAATTTGGATTTCCAACATTTCGGCCCCCAGTATCAACGATGTGTCCTAGAAGGACGAAACAGCTTTATGATAGAGTATAATTCATTTTTGGCAAACTGTATCTATTACTAAACTGTATCTATTACTAAACTGTATCTATTACTAAACTGTATCGATTATTGAACTGTATCTAAACTGTATCTATTACTAAACTGTATCGATTATTAAATGTTAAAGGTGCAGTCACGTTCATTTTTCTTAAAAGTAGATTGTGACTAGTGAAGCTTCAATGTTACTACTAAAGCTGAAGTGTCATACTGAATCGTGAATGTTACAAAATAGGCTCGGACGTTGTTAGTGACGCTACATTAGTATGGCATTACTTAGGATTTGCTTGATTTGTAATTTAGGTTTACCGCCTTCGCTGCAGTTGTTATACTACAGAAATACAGTTAACGACCGTGCTACTGACGTTGTCTCGCTTGTCGTAACATTTATTAGGTGGTGAGGTAATCATTATTGTCATACCGTATGTCAGTATCAACTTATGAAACAAATCTGAAAAAGTGAGTAATGTCATTAAGTAAAAGCATAGCAACAAATATAACATATTACCCATCCTTCTGACTGTATTCAGTATTAGGGTGCATTTTGGAAGATATGTGCCGATAAGCCGACTTAACTTAGTCGGCACATTGTGGCTTAGTGAGTTGTTTTAAGCGGTTTAGAGTCGAGACACCGGTCGTTTGCAATCTTTACTTGATAAAGGAAACGGCCGTTTTCGAAAGCTTGCAAAAGAAGTTGTCAGTTACAATTTTTGTTTAAAATAAATTAAACATACAGTTAAGTGATAAATCGAAATGCGAAGACCTTGATGCTAAACTAGCCCATTATTATAATATTAGGTACAGTATATATGTGGTGGAAATTGGACACAATGAAGAAGCATGCCATGTCGAGGACGTTTAAAGCTTCATTAAAGCATCGTTACCATATGAATTAGAGTTTAAAGATAAATATATATGATATTATTCAAATGTATATCCATTATACAGTTCAGGGCAGAATTTTAAGTAGACACTAATGCAGAGTAATAACGTCTGTTTGTACCTCTGTAACATTATTACCGTTACGGTGACATGTTCGCCCGTTCTTTTGTCAACCTCAATTATATACACGCAGATCACTAAAATTTACTGGACACATTTGAGATAATTAGCATAGAAAATATATATTCGTGTTACACTTTCACCACCTTTTTTCTTTGTTCGATAGCATACAGTTTCCCATATTTTGTACTCATGTTAAACTAGGTACAAACACAAAAGTGTCAGCATTAAATTTGCTTCCAATAAAAATGTTCAAATGAACAATTATGTGTCTCAATTAAGTTTCGCCCTCATGAGAACTTCAACAAAGGACGAATTAACCAATCCTCTTACAGAATTTTCCAAATCACAAATAAGTCTCACAACAAAACGCATTTAATTTAAAGGATGCGTGTCTATAAAAAACTTTTTTGGGCCCCGGTATATCCGGATGTCTTATTGTATCCCATGCGTAAAAACCTTAGACAAAAATTGACCGAGAGAAACAAAATATCACTATTTTCAACTACACGAAGTTTAAGACAAATCCTGGATTATAACAAAGGGTGAGTGTCTATAAGGCTCTTTTATAGGCCCCGGTATATCCGGATTTTCACGTACTTAATTTGTTCAAAGATGTCTTATTGTATCACATACGCAAAAACTGAGGCAAAAATTTGACCGAAAGAGGGTTTTGTGAGTACTGAAAGGGGTAGGTCAAATCGCAAATATAACTTGTTGTTTTTCAAAAAGTGCTTAAACAACCAAAGTAATACCATATTTTTTCGGAAACATGTGTAAATTAAACAGTCATATATAAAAGAATGAAAATGACAGAAATCCAATCGTCACTTACAGATTGTTTATATAAAACAGAAGATTAAGTCAGGGAGTTGTTCTAGGTAAATTTTAAATAAAAAGTGGTTTTTTTTATCTATAATTTCCTGTCTAATTTTCATTTTGAGTTGAAATTTACAACTTTACTCATTTGAGTACACTTATATAAAATGCATATTCACTACAAACTTTCCTTTTGTTTTATACTGAGTAATGGGTTCTGGACACTTCTCGAAATTGACAATTTTAAGTATCTCTCTTTCTTGAGTAAATTATAAGGTGCTTGGATTCTGATATTCAATAGAAAACATTCCACGTGACTATTAGTTATTAGTTATTAGCATTAAAAAAAACGCATGTAGACATCCAGACATTTTATTTTGTTGTCACAATTAAACTGTGGCCCTGTTCCTGATGAAAACACCTTTAGCCTTTTTCATTGCAAATGATGCTCTATTGTTGATAATCCCTATTGTGAATAACGTGAAACGTTTCGTGAAAAAATATTAGTTATTTTTTTCATCTTGAAACTTTAATTAATTACACTGGAAAATAATGTAACATTCAATGCTTAAGCATATGTGACCGTATATATTTTTGTATCACGATAACAGACTGGCACAGCATAAGATTATTTTAGTTATATAACTTGTCGTTCAAATGGAAACCTACATATATAACTCCGCCTTATTTATTTCGTGAATTTCGCTGTTGAATCTGATTGGTCTAACATGAATATACAATCTTTTAAAACTTGTGCATGCGTGACATTCCTGCACTGTTGTTCACTTGTTGTCATACGGTGTTGTTTCGTCTCAGACTTCCACGGGTACATTTCTTAGGGGTAAGTTTTGTCAGAATTATACTGTTTATATTGTTTTGTCATTGGTGATTGGATGAAGTTCTGACTTTTTTTTAAAGTTTGAAACACACATATCATTCTTTTTCCACTGCAACACATGATATGCTATATCTTTTTTTTCCATTTATTTGCCTTAAAGAATCATGATGTCCTCGGTATTGTTTATGCTGTTGGTTGTGATGATGGCGTCTGTCCACGTACAGGTAAGCGGATACATACAGTTAAACACTAAAACTACAATATATACATTGAAACTACACATATCTTGTTTTTTGAATAGGACTGTACCTACCAAAAATGTAAAAAGACTGAATACCTAATATCTGAACTACAAATAATTATCATAAATATCTATTTATAAATGTAATGATGAGGTGAAAATAATCAATCTGCTACATTATTAAATAGCATAACGTCACCACAAGAAGCCTTTGAAAAAACTTTTTTTTATAAAGCCGCTTTAAAACTGAATATTCTTAGATAAAATCTACAAACAATGTTTTGCTGTCTATTAACTTACATGACTTGTTATACTTTTATCCCGGTGATTGCTGTAGTTTTTTTCAAATATTTTGTTGTAAAGCGATACATTGATATAGTGTAATGCCAATTTCATTTATTAATTCGATTATTAATCATATACTTCAAAATTAGACATTTTATATCAGTGAACTGAGATATAACATGAAACAGCAAAAGACGTTGATTAATGTATTGACTATGTGTACCTGTAGGTGTGTCATTTTGTATAGAGTTTTATAGTTAAGTACGTCGTTACCTAGCTTCATAGATCGATTAAGGTCGTGTGTTCTTGGTACAGTTTACACCTGTCATTAAATTACTTTTTATGTCGGTCTAAGGTTGTATACGACCTTCTATGACTTTGTACATCGGTTTAATGTTGTATGATAATATCACTTCGTACATCGGTTTAACGTTATATGATAATATCACTTCGTACATCGGTAAAAATTAGAAATAATCAACAAATGTGAGTTAAAATAAAAAATAAATAATCGCACACAAAATTTATATATCGCCCTATACAATTTACAAAATTACTCTAATGCGCTTTACAACACATAAATAAAAGTATTCCTACAGTGACAATTATAAATATGTAGATACAAAAGGCATAAAAAGTTGAATATTTGCCAACATTTTAAAATCTGAATGATTTTTCCACCATTCTATAAAAACATGTGTTTATTTTATCTATTCTGTCTGGTAATATGTAACGAAAGCATTTTGTTCGCGTCTACCCCAGTGTCCGTATGCATATTTAAGTGAAGGTGACCGTGATAATCTAATGATTTAAATGCTGCGCATTTTGATCATTTCTGTGGTGCAGTTGTCCTATTTTGTAAATTTAACCTTTATATAATTGAAAAGGATTTTTAATTGTCAGTCTAACTGCCTTAGTAAAAGGCGAGTGCGCTATCCACTGCGCCTCACGACCACCCAAATCAGCATTTGACAGATTTACAAACACTATTTGAAGTAACTTTCACGGTGATTTTAGCGGAACATTCTGAACTTGAGTCTGACAGGTTTACAGAAGATCTAAAGGTCAAATAGAAACTTTTTTGTTTGTCCACTAAAATATCTTCAAGTTCAAAATCATTCGTTGTCTCTCGTAGCCTGATTTTGTAAACCGGTCTAAAGTTGTATCATCGTTTAAGCTCTTATACCGATCTGACGTTGTATCGTTTACTTACTTTAGTTACCGGCCTTAACCTATTTAAGGCTGTATTATAGTATAATTGTATATACCAGACAAAGGTAATATCATAGTATTCATACCAGTCTCAGGTTTTGTCATAGTCAGATTTGTTTATCATAATACAATTATATATATATATATATTTACATGTGTAAGTTTGTATCGTAGTATAATTTTTATTTTATATACCGGTCTAGGTTGTATCTTTATATATTTCATATCTTAGATACCTGTCTCAGACTGTATCTTAGATACCTGTCTCAGACTGTACTTTAGATACCTGTCTCAGACTGTACCTTAGATACCTGTCTCAGACTGTACTTTAGATACCTGTCTCAGACTGTACCTTAGATACCTGTCTCAGACTGTATCTTAGAATAGTTTTACAATTTATTTGCCAGTCTAACGTTGTATCGTATAAGGATCATGCTCAAAGGTGTAGAATTTCGAGGGTTTTGCTAAATTTGAAAATCTCGAGGATGGAATTTTTCCTTCTCCATCTGGTAGGCAAGAATATTTTTCTCTCATTCCAACTACCAGAATAAGGTCAGAAACCTTGAAAATGCGTTTGGACTGACAACCATTTTGAAAATATATCAATTTTCCCCTGAGATTTTTTGACGAAATGAATCTGTCAGCGAGATTAGCATACCCCATATCTGCAAACAAAGTTTGCGCAGAAAAATTCATCTCATCTTTATAACGCGCACGATATATATATCGTAAAGGGTGTTAATTTCATCACGTTGTCTTTTCCTGTATGCGGAATCGGAGTTTCTCAAAGTCGTGACGTCACGTTATTGTCAAGTCATTGTGACGTCACGTCACGTGAAATGGGTTGTAAGATAGACATTTCGTACACCCCTTTCTTAACATGGGCAGCTCTATCGTAAATCAAACAAGGACATGAGTGAATAGTAAACCTTTGTTTAACGGTCTGATGTTGTATTAAAGTAAAATATTATACTTTAAATACCGTATAAGTGCCTATGCTAGTTTGATTTTATATGTTATATACCGGTGTAAGGTTTTATTGAAGTATACGTTTGTATACTGGTCTCTGGTTGTATGTGTCGTGTTATGACGTTTTTCAAGAGGTGAAATAATCACTTGAAATAGGAACTTAATGATAATTTATACAACTCTACGTTTGTGTATGACTTAGTATGACTTGGTATGACTTGGTATAACTTGGTATGACTTGGTATACTAGTAAAGGTTTTTTTACGTGACCAGGTTGATTGGGATTGAGAAAAGGTTGTTACGTGACCAGGTGCGACTTTGTATAATAGTTAAAGGTATTACGTGACAAAGTGTGACTTTGTATACTGATGTTGGGTATCCAGAGCCCTTATGTTAATGTTTATACCAATGTAGGGATGTAATTGTCCCGATCTCGAGAAGAAAGACCCGTGGTGTGGAGACGAGGGCGACTATGATTCCTTATGTGAACTCCAGTGCAAGTAAGTACAATATACCAATTGCTGGACAATGTTTGTCTACTTTGCGCTCTGAGACAGTAGATATAAATACATGCGCAGTAAATATATAAGTGCGTATTAATTTCATTCTTCAATTTTAAATGGCACATGATCAAATTTTGAATGCAAACAATCCATTAAACTTTAATTATTAAGTGAACATAGTTAAGTTATATAACACTAATTTCTATGTTTATTTTTTAATTAACACGCATTATGACTGAGAACAGAGGACGGTTGCAACAAAGCCAGACATATATTTTTATCAATCTGCTAGCTTATTAAGATAAACGACGAATAGAATAATTAGGAATTAGTATTGCAAACGCGTTCTTAATTATCATGAAACGCATCTAATTTAATTAATTTTGTCCACGGTGGGATTATAATAAATTATTCTTGATTACATATGATGAGGGATTTGAGAATACTTGATTTACGGTCTTAATTATTCTCAACTGTGAGTGGAAGTTTTAAAGACGCACAGTCACCATATTATTAATAGTTATTTTATCTACAAAATACAATTTTATCTGATTTAAAGAAACGCATAATTGTTTAGTTTAAACTTTCTTTTATTCAAGTATTTCAATTATATACATATATATAACATTTTGTAACAAAACACAAAATAAAAAATAGAAACAAGTGTCTTAGACACTTATGTAAATCTATCACCTTATCATAATCTGCAAAATATATTCAGGATGGACAGCATATTGTCTCCAATGAAAAATACATACACTAATACAATCAGTGACAATAGTTTAAACAAGGAGAAAGAAAAGGAGATAATTAATGGGGAAGGGTTTTGGTTGTTAATGGGTTTTACTTGTTCTTACATAAGTACAATTCGGCTTTAAGCACATACATGTTTATGAAATATTCAATCAATAGGAAAACCTGTTTGTTTTTAATATATAATCTTGGACAGCTAGGAAGCTAACCTTATTTTCTTGCAATGGCAATGTCTCGTTCCCAAACAGTAGAATATCTGTGGTAATGTTATAAGGCAAATAATATAAATACTGTCTTCTTATGTCGTCATATCGGGTACATTCTAAAAGAAATTGAGCAGTGTTTTCAACTTGACCGCATACACATTGCGGAGATTGAACAATATTTTACTAAATAAATGCCTGTTTAAGGAACTGCATTCCATTCGTAGACGAACATGGTATATTTGACCCTTACGGGTTCCAAAAGTGTAGTGGATTGGTACTTTTCTACTTAACCGTTTATCAAGGTATGATTATATAGCAAAAACAGACGGATTTGATCTAACATCAGATGGTAGTTTTTTCCATTGATCTATATAGTAGATGGTATAAACGATTGTTTATAAAAAGCAGTTTTGCACAATATTGGAGTGACACATGTATGATCTGAGTTCCTTGTATCATATCTATGTCCCTCCGAAACTGTGTGAGGAACAAGATTATACAAATATTGAGGCGTATATTGGTAAAACATTTTATGAAATTGAAGAACTTTTCAATTTTGTCTATGACATAATTGTTTACCGTTAATAAAGAGAAGTGCCCCTTTAAAATATGATAAAGGAATTGATATTTTACTTCAAATCTGCCGATGCCAAAAAACACTTATGAAAATATTTAAATCGACATCAGGTAGCTAGCCATGGAAATTAACATTTAGGTAACCCAAGAAATTGAATTCATTCTTACTCTATAAAAACTGATATAGTACAGTACTATATATTCCTACGAATATTCATTTTCATACATTTTCCTCATAGGATATAAACCCGGATTCTTATTTTGAAATAGATAGGTAAAAATGGCGAAAGGCTCTGTGCACGCTTCATAGGATTCGCCTCTTATTTAATATCAAAACAAAATATTTATCGTTATCTTACGTTGTGTATCATAACGATTAACAACACTACCGCGTTTAATAGACAGCGTAATACGAGTTATCTCCTATTAGACGTTCAACACATACGCTATGCAGTTTATGACTTATATAGCTTACTTGAGAAATCTGTTCATATGATTACAGCGAATTAATAGGCCAAGATTTGTTTTAAGGTAAGGCCGTATACAGAAAACAAATATGTCATTTATCTTTCTTGGATACATTTCTGGTTTGTTTTATTTCTGTAAATACTAATTCATTTTTTATTGTTTTATTTTATGTTTTTTATTGATTTTTGTTTTTAATTAAATTTCCATTTGATTTTGTACATTGGAGTACAACTAACATAAGATCTAAGCTTGTGTTTAACTCCCTCTGATAATATTATTTCATATGTAATGAGATATTTGATTTTCGAATAATGTTTCAAATATAAAAAAAAATATTCAATAGCTTTAAATACCTGTCAATTTTGAAATAATCATATTTAATAAATAATAATATTCTTTAATATTTTGTATAAAAAAAGCTTTATTAGCTAGAAGAAGGAATGGAACGAATCTGATATTGATGAGAAAATCTGGAAACTGGCATCTATGATCCTTCTAAATTGTCTATAAATGGCAATTAATTCATTTAGTAATTACCAAACACAGTTTAACTGCAACTTCTCTTTTATTTTTCATTTTTTATATGAAATAGAAGCAAACATTCACAAACTGTAAGACAAAAAACGTTCTCATTGGTATTCTGGCATTCTGACACTTGCAAACCATACTAATCTCTGACAGAATGACAGTAATGGATAATAAATGATATAGTATGTTAATGATGAAATGGGAAGTCTTATGATATATGTATGCAACAATGATATAATAAGTTGTCTTTCTCACGACGACACAACATAATGGGGGAGAGTATAAATGCACCACAGCGTTAATGTCCTTTTACTATTTTGAGAGACAGCTTCCCAACGATGATCTTCCACAGTAATCGTTTACCTCATGCATACATCCTCAACAAAATCCTACAACTTTGTAATGATGTATATCAGTCTAGAGTTGTATATGTCCTGGAGTGTTTAAGTTGACTGTCAGCTTTATCTCCTCGGTCTCAGTCCAGAATGCATATGCACACTCTCAATATTTTTCAAAATTTCGCTCTAAAATATGTTTCATTTCGACTATAATAACTTGTGAGACATGAGCACTATACGCTATTTTGTATTGTATTTGGATTTAAGTGAGGTTAATACTATTTGTACATTTGGTATTCCCGCCCTTCATAGGTATTTCTTACACCCTTCACAGGTGTGTCTCCCGTTTTTGCCAAGATTGATCAGCTCGTCACTCCCTGGGGAGATATAGCCTAATTTAAATGTGCCACCGGTTATTGTGACGTCATCAAAATTGAATGACGATATGCATACTCCACATGTTTTTTTGTTTACAAACACGACAGACTATTGTCGGTGGTGTTGTGACTGAAGTAATAGGATGGGAGAAAAATAATCATCCCATACCTTGTGGATGTAACAGAAATCTCCAACCCTCTGGGTGATGTTTGTGGTTGTCTAACCCTCGGCAGAACCTCGGGTTAGACAACAAAAAACATCACCCTTCGGGAAGGAGATTTTTGTCACACCCTCAAGGTAGGGGAGGATTCTTTTAGTCTACCGTTTTAGCCGGGAAAGATCAGCTTGCACCCCTTAGGAGGGATAGCTTCGACCAGAAAAGCACGCATTATATTGTGACGTCATGAAAAAGTGTATGTCGATTAAGACGTCATAAAAAGAGGATTGACTATCATTCATACGCTAAATATGCATTTGTTTACAAATATGAATACAGTCGGTTGAGTTGTGACCGAAAAGCTGGACGAGAGAAAAATAGCAATCGCCTATATCTACTTTAAGAGTGAAACAGAGAAATATCAAACCCTGCAACTCTGACGGCACTAGCATTTACGCTATTACATGAAATAAAAATAAAAATGTATTATCACCATGGAAGAAATGAACCAGACATGTCAGAAATTAAGGCAAGCTTATCGATTCACGATCAATAGACTTAACGGGAATATATCGGGTTTAGTCTTACATCAAATAGTTCTTTAGTATGATGTACTTGAGATACTCTTTAAAACTCTAATGCAAAACGAGCAAAACTTCATTTGAGATCAAATATAGGATCTTGTTTTTATTTCAGAGATGACGAAATAGTTGGGCATGACACCTGTGATAAGATTGAGGTAAGATCATCTATATTGTCAGTGAAATTCAAATGTCCTCGGGCAATATGTATCAAACATATCAATAAGTATGGTAAATTATAAGTAGTTATATCAAATTTGAAAGATAGGGCACTTTAAGGAGATTCCTCATTCGCGTGCCTTTTTGTCTATAATTTCTAATGCTATTCAAGGCATGTTTAGTTAAAAGCATTTTTAAAAGTTTTGACTAAAATGTTGCGTAACTCAGTCAAGAAATATATGTTTTAGTACAGGGAAATGGCAAGTCACTGTAATTGTTTATTTTATAAATACATTGTATCTAAATTTTATTTCCAAAGCATTAATAGTAATTTCATTTGACACTTAGTCTATGTACGTTAATTGTGTCTTGGCCTGATGATACACTGAACTACGTTATCCTACAGAAATGCGAAGATGCTTTGCCGCTGGATCAGGGACCGGACGTCTGTGCTGAGTATGGTATCACCTTCGACAGCCTCGAAGAGATGAAATGCCAGTAGGTTATTGTTTTAAGCAAACAGAGTAAACAGAAATCGCATTATACAACTTGTGGTTTGTTCAAAACGATTAACAATGCCATGTTCTAATACAGTGTATTTATAGTCATCTGTCAATCAAACAGAGTTGATAAAACTGAAAAAAATAGCACGCGTATCATGATACAGTTTTGGGTTACAATTTATATCATGACAGTAAAATTAACGTATGGTTCGCTAATAACGTTTTTTTCTGATTTAACAGTAACCTGGAATTTGTGAGCAAAGGTGAATGTCCTTAAGTGAAACAGTCAAAAGAAATAATGCCAAAGTATGTCACCAGGTAAGTCTTCCTCCTCAATATTATGTTAGTAAATTAGGGAAACGAGGCAGATCGGTCTGTATCTATGAAACTTAAGTCGTTGCATTGAATTTCACATCAAACTTGAATGAGATTTATATTTTAAAACTATCAAATAAAATCAGCCTATACAAGGTTGCCTTTTATGATTTCATTAAAAATGAAAATTGAGTTTTAAAATTGATAAGCATTGCAAGGTCATGTTTTACATTTTATCGTTCATAAAAAATAACTCAATTATGATATTATAGCAATCTTAGAGTCCTTAACGTTATTTATTGTATATCGTATGACATCACAATAAGGTAATGTTTGAATTCATATGTAAAATTTTGACATGTTCATTGACGAAAAAAACCGCTGTTTGGTTCTTCATCTGTTGTCCTCATTGTGACGTCAAAACAACATGAAAATCGTCGACGTAATTGATAATAATTTTTGTGACGTCAAAATATATCACTTTATTTGAATTCAGTTTTGATATATATAATCGTTTCTTTGCGATTTTACTAAACAATCTAAGCCAAGCGAACTTCTAATACATCAGACTTTACACATTTACAAGAATAAATCTAACAAAAATTGAGTATGACATTAGCTACCATTAAGAGGTTTTATGATTTTGTTGCAGGGACATCAACACGGAGGCACGGAGAAACTTGATCAATATTCACACTCGTGGAGGATGTGCATGTGTAGATTACAAATAAAAGGGTATAAAATTGTGTGATAGAAAATGTGTTTTCTTTACTGAACCGAACCAGAAACCGCATACGTCCTACAGGGTATAAACAAACACATTACTTGGACGTGTAATTTAGGATTTAATAATAATAACAACGCTTAACAGACCTTGGAAATTCTAATGGACGACTTGTAAATATTGATATCAATAAACAGTATACAGTTGAAGTATGGACTCTTTTATTATACCTTAGCTAACAGCACAGAAATTTAAAAAACATTCCGAGCAGATCTATTAAGAACTATAATTACTCTTTCACTATCATAAACATAGTTAGGAGTCTAGGTCGAATACAAGCCCCGCCCACCTATTACTTGGTTTGCTCAGTTATTTCCACTTAATTACGGGAACCGCCTAAATAAGGGAGGTTTTTTAGGCTTCTCGGAATGGCAAGTTCATAAAATTCATTTCATGCAAGAACATGTTTTGTAAACATCAAATAAGTCGGCGGTAATTGATACAGCCTTAGGATACGATACATCAGTTACATCGTGGTTTTATGCATTCGTAAATGTCACTGACCTATTCAAGGAACGATCTAAATTTAGTCCGATTTCTGGGAATTGTTATTTAAAATTACGATACATACGAAATACGGTCAGGTAAAAAAAAATATGTATACACCATTCTTCACTAGCATAATACACTACATGTACGCTAAGTACTGTAGGGCATTGGACCGGCACAACTTTAAGGCGACCTATTTGCGTTTATTTTTCATGGACACTTATGCATCTTATATTTAATAATAAAGTTGATGCTAGGGCTAGTAATAAATTTGTTCATAATTTCCGATTTAACCATTGACACTTTTTTTTTTATCTTTATTAAATAAGGTAATGTGAGTCAATCACTTCAATAACAATATCAAAATATAACTTTCGTAATTATTTTTTGAGAGTAAAAAAGTTAAAATGTTTCCTGTTAGATCATGTAAATATAGTTTCTATGCCAACAACACTTTCCATATATATTAAATAATTATCTGCCTATGTTTGTATGAGCTGATTATGGCTAAAGCTTAAATGTATGCACGCATGATAGGCACATGGAGATGTTTTGATAGCATGCATGCGTCATTACAATTGGATATAGGATATGAAATACATTAGCCACTCATATTTTGGCTGTGAATTATATTGTTAGGTCATCCGTGTCATAACTACGTACACGGAATAGGATTCTGTGATGCGAGAATTCATGCTGACCAAAGAATATGAATATGGAGGACGCTTTACTTACAAATAACACAGCAGTGTACTTGCTTGTACAAAACGTCTGTTTTCACTTTCAATAAGTTGATGTAGGTATGTTTGTTTGATTACAATAGAGAAACAAAAGACACCACAGTGATAAAGGGATATATGGGGAAGGTATTTTACACAAAGTCAGACCTGCTTCCCAAACTAGTATACGTAAATGTTGCATCATATTACATCTTTACTTTGGTTACTTGACATGTATCCGATCATAAACGTTTTCAGGACATGGCTATGTGTTCTGACTCAAGTCTAACGAACGTTCTTGAACTTTAAAAACCCCGTTCAATTCAAAGTATACCATCTGAAAGCATAGCGAATATAAAGAAAACAATCTTAAAGCTGAATTTTCTATAATTCCAGTGATGTTTTTCTATAGGGAAAAACAACTTAAGCTAAGGGATTGTCACAAGTTATGATCGTGCGTGACTCTAGGATCCTTAATCAAATAGAGTTCTTAAAATGCTATCAAATAAAACATAAAGACAAAAATTGACGAATATAATTAATCGTTAAAGAGGTAACTAATGTACAATTTGCAGATTTCATTCTTATTTAAACAAAACGAAAATTAAGTTAAGCAATAACTTATCATATGACTAAACACAAACACTGCCTCCATAACAACATCATTTGCATAGGCTACAAACAGCCAGGGAAACAATAAGATTGACGTTATACAAAAGATGACAAGGTGATTGTTAAAGACTGGCGCTTTGACAGGAACCCGATTCCTAAAACACACGTAAGTCACGATATAAAAAGGTTACCAGTGTAAAACATCATAGCATGCGTCTAGGACATGTCACCTCATAGAAACTATATAAATAAGTAACAGTATTTGTATACAGGAACAAACAGGTCACTCTAACTATTTCAATCCATGCATATTGTTTCTGTCGATTAACCTGTTGTCTTTTATTTTCTCTCTGTTATACTTAATTTGAACAGACATGAGTAAGAACAATACCAGTGATTATTTTATTACTTTGTATTTTTCATTAAACTGTTTTCAGTCGATATCCTTATCGATAATGTTGTTTCAGCTGGAGAAATTAACAGAACATTTATGCTGCTTTAATATTGAAAGTAGAAATAATTAAGTCTGTTATATTACCGTATGTACCTGTCACATGCGGCGTGGCATAACAGGGTTTTCAATCCGAGCTAGTTTGCATGTTTAACTTGACATCAGATTGCATCTCGTGCGAGCTACCTTGTTATCTCCTTACAGTTAACCCATTCAATATAAGCTAACACACGCTAATGCAGTTATATGTTATGGTGCACGCACTTCTAACATATACACACGTAATAATCGTGTGAAACTGTTTATACACTACACACTGCACTAATATTGATTAGGGAGCAATGCATCAAGTGTAAACCAGAAAGTCGATGGTTGTCATCAGTTATTTTCACATTTTGACGCACATCCGCATAGTCTGAGTGAAGCATCTACAGTTAAAATTATTTTGGAGGCAAAAAGCCGCTAACCCGGCAAAACATAAACAGTACTGCCATATCACTAACTTTCGTGGGAATTTTAATTTCGTTGATTCTGCGGGTACACTTCATCGATAAATTCATATGTCCATATATGCCATATGTAATGGGATAACAGGTTTTACGGTATGTGGTGGTGTTTTACGCACTAGTAGAGTACTACCTGTTAACGGGGATACTAGTAATTAACGAATCCATGCACCCACGAAAATGAGTTTATAGGAAATTCGGGCCCCACGAAAATATCTGATATCACAGTATACGCCCACACAAATAGTTGTTGATAAACCATAACGTAACGGTTTTCAGTTGAAATTTGATACAACTAAAATGCTTTTATATTATTGATTATTACTTTAGCATTTCCACTGAAGTAGAATGAATCAGGTAAAACATTGCAACCGAACTGATTTAATTGGTTATCAAGTTTGTACATGTTTTCCTGCAAGGTAGATTGGTAACTCAATAAAAATTGAATGAGCAAATTTATAAAAAGTAATGTGATGTTCTTACAAAGTTCTATACAATGAAACACATGTATATAGAATTAACATCAAACTATGACACGTTACACTACGAATATAATGTTGATTAAAGCTAAATTGTGTAATACAAACAAAGTGTTTATGTCATGTTATCCTTTCAAAGAGATCCAAACATTTTCAACTTTCAATTTGAATAACTTTCAACATGTCCAATGCACCATGTGTAACCCTGTACAGTTACATACATGATAAAGACGTGGCTAACAGGTATGATTGCTCGCTTAAATGGACAACAGCAAACAATACAACGAGATAGATGACAAAATACATTACAAAAGGCAAAAAGCTTAGTAAATATGTCTTAAGAAATTAACTCCCGTGAAAATTTTAAAGCTAGGATCAGAACACACTTTGTATTCCTTCAAAAACGATTCGAAAAAGTGCGTCAATTTTTCTCGATAATCAAAAAGCGTTAGACAACGTCTGGATCAGCAGGCTTATATACAAGTTATTATTCCATTGGTTGTCAACGTCATTGATGGTCAGTTCAATCTGTCTATTCAAAGAATATCTCCTGAGATCTCATCGTCATCCATATTTGTTGAACAATGACATATGCAAAGGATGGTACAGCATTCAGATGTCGGTTGGGTTGGTGCATATCTAGTCTCCGCCCGCCGTTTTATACGCTCAATCAAATAAAGCAGGGAGTAATGCAATATAGCTCCAACCAAACCCTTTTGTAGAACATGATCTTGTTCACACGTCGGTGTTGGTCAGCGATGAGAATGTCATTCACTATGACCATATTTTGTCGCACATCTTGGAGCTCAAAAATTTTCTAAATAATTACGTGTGAAAATGACAAAACAGCTACTTATACAGTCCTTAACATATGCCAATATAATTTGAATCAAAAACACGTCATTTTTGTCTCGTTGGCTACACCCCCAGCCCTCTTAGCACCTAAGCGGACAGTGTGCATGTATTTCAAAAGACCGGCAGTGTCTGCAGGATGAGCAGAAGTGTAGATAGATATGAAAACTGTAAACGCATCTGTCCACATATCAATATCAACAATCTTGGGATTCTTGATTTTACCCTTAACAACAAGCTCCCCGTTTACAAGCGAAAAAAGTTTGGCCTCATCTAAGGGAGCAGGTTTAGCCAGCAATTGACCAAGATCAACAAACTCATTGTTAATAATTTTTTGACGAACCGCTGAAACAACATTTCGTCCTAACTCGTCATTTACACTGGCCACTTGGTGAGCTCTAGGATCGAATAAGTCATTACATAAATTGTTTGATTGTTGAGAACAGGCAGTATCAACATTACTAGTGTGACAAATTGACATGTTAGAAGTTTGGGGCAAACTGGTATCATTACCTGACGGCTGTACAGCCATCCGAGGCTCGATAGCCTGATGCACAGCCTCCACCAGCTGAGGTGCCAGCCTAGTTGACACCTGCTCGATTACGTCCTCCAGCTGCTGTGGGGACAGGGGTCCTCCCTCTCCTGGCTGTTCAGAACTAGAAGGCCTCTCATGCTGCTCACCACTACCCCGGGCTCCAGCTGCTGGCCGGCCTGAATATGGGCGGGACGATGGCCGTCTCGACTTTCTGACACCTTTTCCTCTCATACCCCGGCCGTAACCACAACACAAAACGCTGCAGACAAAAGGCCTGCGGGATTGTGTGATGACCTCCCGGAAGAGTTAAATGAAATTT